TACATTTGTGGGCCAAAAACATTAGGCCATCAAAAAATTAATGTCATGTTTTGGACCCCTTTCATTACCCCCCCCCCCCTCCCAAGAAAACGTACATCATATATAATAGTTAAACAAACCACCTAAATGTCAGTTAGTGTGGCCTATATAATGTGTAAAGTTTAGTATACTCTAATCCCTTATAGTGATGACATACAATGAGACACACAATTTGGCATGTAATGCTGTTTGAATACAAGAAGGGAAACAACTCCTCTGTAGCCACAAAGAATATCAAATAAGTTTATAGAAATGTTTTGAATATTAATAAGTGTCAACGATAGTTCAACAAATTTTGTTCAGGTGACTTTAACCTTAAAAACTGTGATGCCAGGGCCAACATGTTGGAATTGATATTGATGCTCTGAAGATGCTTGTTGAGTTTAACCTAAGGCAACACACTCATGAAATGGCCCTGAAATTGCATATCTTTCATGAAACAATATGTAAACATCTAAAGAATATGGGAAAACTCCATAAAGAAGGTGTTTGTGTGCCTCACAAACTCTCTAATGATCATTGTTTCCAACATGTGAACGTTGCTTTGTCTGGCACATAATGCACGTGAACCATTTTTGTGATGAAAAATGGATTCTCTATGCAAATATTAAATGCCAAAAACAATATCTCAGTCCTAGACAAAAACCATTTCCAACCCCAAAACCTGGACTCCATCTGCAGAAAGTGAGGCTTTGCATTTGGTGGGACATCAAAGGAGTAATTCATTTAAAACTCCTCAATCCACAGCAAACTGCCAATGTAGAGATCTATAGTCAGCAACTTGTTTAAATCAAGCCTTTTGTCAGAAATTCCCTTCATTCGTCAATTGGAAAGGTGTTCCTCTTCTCCACAACAATGCACATCCACATGTGGCACGTTTGACGCAACACAAGATTATGGAGTTGGGTTTGGAAGTTCTTCCCCATCCACCATATTCTCCAGCTATGGCAACATCAGATTACCATCATTTCTGTTCGCTGCAACACCATCTTAATAGGAAAACATATGCAAGTCTGGAAGGTGTTGAAGAGGACATCGACATGTTTTTTTCTTCAAAGCCAAGTGAGTTCTTTAATCGGGGCATTAAAAACTTGGTTGTAAG